GCAGGCATGGGGCTGCCTACGGTGTCGGCGGCTCGGATCTACAAGGGGCAGCTGGCTGGCGGCTTGGGTGAGGAGAGCGTCTTGGCCATGGAGACCTTTCCCCACGTGGCCCTGGCCAAGGTGAGTGGGGCAGTGCCAGGGGTCGGCCGCCCTGCCCCTGCTTGAAACCCCACTGGCTCCTGCTTGCTTTCAGACCTACACCATCGACCGGCAAGTGCCCGACAGCGCTGGCACAGGCACAGCCTACCTCTGCGGGGTGAAGGCCAATGCCAAGACGCTGGGGCTGAGCGGGGCGGCTGTCTACGGCAAATGCCGCACCACCTTTGGCAATGAGGTGGACTCCATCCTGCACCGGGCCAGGCTGTCAGGTACGGGACAGCGGGCAACCCTGTCGGAGAGCCTGGCATGGCACCGCCATCCCATACTGTGCAGGGCTGGACGGGCTCCCCCTAAACCCTTGCCCGTGCTGCAGGCAAGTCCGTGGGCATTGTGACGACCACGCGGGTGCAACATGCATCCCCCGGGGCAGCCTATGCCCACTCGGCCAGCCGGAGCTGGTACACCGATGCCAACATGCCCAAGGAGGCGTTGCGGGACGGCTGCAAGGACATCGCCTATCAGCTGGTGCACAACACAGACATCAACGTGAGCCAGGGAGCAGGCATGGGAGGGAGGGGACACCAGGGACATTGGGACAGTCTGCTGAGCTGCAGGGCTGTGGTGGTGCCGGTGGTAACTCCCTGCTCCCGGGCAGGTGATCCTGGGTGGCGGGCGGATGTACATGACCCCCAAGCAGACCCCGGACCCCGAGTACCCAGAGGACCCAGCTCAGAACGGCATCAGAAAGGACGGCCTGGACTTGATTGCCAAATGGCTGAGTGCCAAGCAGGTACCGTGCTGAGGTGGAGGGCATGTGATGCCAGGCACGGGATGCGTGCTGTTGGCACCGGCTCTGTTCTTGCTGGCAGGGCGCCCGCTACGTCTGGGACAAGAAGGGCCTGGATGCAGTCGAGGATGATTCTGTGAGCCACCTGATGGGTAAGAGCATCACTGACTGCACCACTGGCAACACCTCCTCCTCCTCCCCACTCCGGGGTGTTGGTGGGGGCATGAAGCGGCCCTGGTGTGGACCCTCCCTGTCCCACTCTCCCAGGCCTCTTTGAACCCAAAGACATG